ATGTGGAGGGTCTCAGCCACGTGGCTTTTTCCTTATGCTCGTCTCCACTCCGTATTCGGTAGTGGAAACCCTTTGCTTCGTAGCGATCAAAACGCTGGCACTCTGTGCACAGGGTTCGAGGCCAATGGGGCGCCACTGCCGTCCACGGAATGACGATAAACTCGTTAAAGGGGAGCAATATTGAGTAGGGTGGAAAATGCGTGTGGATAATAACAAACCCAGCCTCTACGAACCCTGAACAACGGTTTGCCGGAGGGAAGTAGTATTGGCCGCCGATCTGTGCGACAGCTTCTCGTATGTCCCACTCGCATACATGTGTCCTTTCCTCGTTATAGGGAAAAGGCCGTGTTGATACGAGAGGTACGGGAGGCTGACGCCCGATCGAAGGGTGCTTATCAATCCACATGTCAATCAATTGCAAAAATTTCGAGACTTCATCAAGGAGAAACACTTGCGCAATCTCCAATCAATTCTTTTCAACACGAGGGAGAGAGAAAAAAAAAAAAAAATCATCAGCTCGATCATGCATGTAACTAAGGGACCGACCCGCGACTCAGGTTCCCGTAAACCACCGCGGTATTGATCCCAGTCGCCTTGTTTCTCGAGGCTGCCCTGTAGATCGGCTGCAGATGTCATGCAACATAAGGCAGATGACATGCGCAGTGCATTCAGAACTGCAGATCTAAACACTCTTGCATTCTCGGACAAAGTCCCGACAACAATCGTCTAATCAACGCAAAAAGACGCGTACCTCCATACATACATTCACTGTGGAAGGTGCGAAAATGAGATATGCTCAGGGATAAAAGATGGATCGCTGAATAATACACACGCATCCACCGTTCACAAGACAAGAAGACGGGGTTCTTGCATAGGAGGACTACCCAGGAAACTAACGGAAGAGTTCCAGAAGAAGTTTTTTTACACAGGAACAACATGCAGACTCATTCCCATTTGAGAGAGAGAGAGACAAATATCGAGACACTTCATCATTCAAAGATAGAGGAGAGAGAGGGAGACGAGGGAGGAATGTCGAGAGAGAAGAGGACAAGATCCGAAAAGAGGAAGTTCGGCGTTGCCGCCATACACTCACGCCAGAGATAAAGATGCGCAACAACAAAGGCGCATTCGCCGTTAATTCCAACATGGCCCCACGCCAATCACTCACTCAACTCCAATCATCGATCCTCATACCCGCACCGACGATCCCGGCCGTCGCGTGCTAACTCCCACCACTGAGATCGTCACCCCGCCGACGTAAACTCGACGTGGTTCGCCCAGATCCCACAGTCCGTCGTGGCGATCAAGCGCGCAACCGACCAGCCTATCGTCATCCCGAGAGGACTTTCCGACTCGCACCAAACACTTTGCCTAGCCACTGCTTCCCGGAAGCTGGCTTGAGAGTCGAGAACGTAAGAGAGATTTGCGGGCGCGTTTGCGAAATTTATAGTGGCGAGGAGGGAGACAAGGGAGAGAAAAGGCAGGGGGAAAACCGAAGTGTGAGGAGAGAAGCAGGAGGAGAAGACTTGGCGAGGAGCGCGCTATAGAAGCCATGTTGATTCTTCGGGACTCAGCGATTGGCTAATCAGACTCGTCGCGCAATAGGAAGATCCTACCGTACGCCGCGTCTGATTGGTGGGCGAAAGTAATCGAAGGATCGACCGGACTTCGCAAGCTTTGCCCGAAAGGCGAGAGAAGAAAAAAGGCGCGAGAAGTAGCGCAAGACGGGTCCAAGATTCAGATGATCAAGAAAGGGGAAATGGGCGCACAAAAAGATGAGCGGGAGAGAGAAAGAGAGGGAGAAAAACAGTTACGAGGAGAGAGGAAGAGGAGGGGGAAGGAAAAAGGAGCGCGGGAGAGAGCGATGCGGGGGACAGAGAGGAAAAAGCTTTGCATGTGTGGCGCTGTCAACAAAAAAAAGAGAAAAAGGCACCGAAACAGTTACAGCTTTCCTACATCCTAAACCGATTCAAAATTGAAATCACCATATCCGCGCGCTGAAGAGCAACGCGGGAAAAGAAAGTCCTAAGCCTATTTGCATCCCGACAAAATTCCGAGAGTTTTCCCCAACGCGTCCGAGAACGTTCACGCACAAAAAAGGACACGTCGAAGTTCCGCTTATCCCGGAATACCCAACTGCCGGGCCCAATTCCCAGTGCGCTCGCTAAGGCACGTGTAAATTCCTATGCATTTCTCGACGTGCAAAAAAGGAAAGAAAGCAGAACCGAAGAATCACAAAAGCTTCTGGAAGATGGGGGCTCGAAACGCGGCACCTGAAATCAAGAAAACGAAACGGGGTCTTTTATGGGGTGGGTATAATACAAGCGAAAAGGGTACGAAAGATAGCACGGGCTCGAGAAGTAGTTCTTCACAGCCGACCTCCTCCTCATCGTGTGCAGCCGACCTCCTCCTCTAGGACCTCTCGTCTTCTTCTTCTTCTTCACTCTTCCTCCTCCTCTCGTCTTCTTTTCCCCTCCTCATTTTGTCTTCTTCTTTTCTCTCTTCCTCCTCCTCCTCCACCTCCTCCTCTCTTGTTCTTCTTCTTCTCTCCTCCTCCCCATTTCGTCTTCTTCTTTTCTCTCCTCCTCCTCATTTCGTCTTCTTCTTTTCTCTCCTCCTCCTCCTCCTCCTCCTCCTCTTGTTTTCGTCTTCTTCTCTCCTCCTCCTCCTCATTTCGTCTTCTTGTTTTCCCTCCTCCTCCTCCTCCTCCATCGACCTTTTTTTTTTTTTTCCCTGGTCATCACATGACACAACCGGCACCTCCTCCTCCCCCTCCTCTGGTCTTCTTCTCCTCCTCTCCTCCTCTTCCTCCTCATTTCGTCTTCTCTTCTGTCCTCCTCGTCCTTTCGTCTTCATCTTCTTCTCTCCTCCTCCTCTCGTCTTCTTTTTCGTCACTCCTCTTCCTCCTCATTCGTCTTCATCTTTTCTCTCCTCCTCCTCCTCCTCATGTCGTCTTCTTCTTCTCGAATTGCCAAGTACCAACGCTTGACATCCGTTCCAGACATTCAAATGGGCTTCAAGGCCGTCAAACACTACTTCATCTCGAGGTCGAGTCCGGCGTTGGGCAACGCCTTGACTCACGTCGAGGACACCCTAACGACAACGGCGAAGCTCTTCGATAAGGCCACGCAGATCATTGTCACGAACAAGGAGGCCGAGAACCTCAACCGTTCGTCTGCGGCAGGCCCGAGCAAAGATCAGCATCGGTCGAAAGTGGTCGTGGTCGGGACAGCAACGCCGACCAATCTAGCGAGGCCGTGTCTGCGAATGAAGGGAACAGACTCACAGCCGCCCTGGATGGTGGTCGCCCCGGCAGAGGCCGAGGACGTGGCAAGCCGAAGACAAACACCACATCTAGCCTCGGGCCTTGTGCAGCAGCTCCAGCCCCATGGTCCCACCACAATCTCTTCGAGCAAGCATACAAGCAACGTACGAGATTTCGCTGTTGTCTGTGGTGCAACAACGATCTCCACGACACAATGGGCTGCTCGTTGAAAGACAAAGGCAAATCAATAATTGAGCACCACCAGGAGTGAATCGACGACACTCTCGACGCCTTCGAAACTGGTCGCTTCGCGGGTGACCGCCCGTCGTTCCAAGGGACATGCGGAAGTCGATAGTCCTCCTCTTCTATATTCTTATGAGGACTATGCTGCCCGACTCGTTCCTACGTTGGGTACTCATGCTCAAGGACAAGACGTGTGTGCGGCATTTTCCTCGTCTGGCAGCGGCAACTTATCGTCTTCAAGTGGTTCTTCACGGGATTCGGCGCGCGAGTTCAACATAGAGGTATTGGACCCGCTCACGTCCGAGGATTTCGCATGGCTTCCTCTCCCGACCACGGGCCGTTTGCCGGGACCGCAATGCGCAGCATTATGCACTCATCTTCACACGTATCTATCCTTCTATGCACCACCAACTTCGCCGACGGAGGACGAAACTGCGGTGGGGGACATCCTTGCGTATGTTACCAATGTGGCCCACGAGTTTTGCAAGCAGTGGTATGATGACAAAAATGCACCGCTCCAAGTTGGACAAGCGTCCTGCAGCGCTTTGCTGGATAGCGGCGCGTCTCGCAATTTCATGAGCCAAGCCTTTATGCAAAGGGCTGGTCTTGGTGCACAACTTCAGCGGAAGGCAAACCCGACGACGATCAAGTTGGCGGACGGAAGGACGCATCAACTTATCGACCACTACATCGAGGCCGTACCGCTGTATTTCGCACCTCATGCATGCGAACCGGCGACGTTCGACATTTTGGACACGCACTTCGACATTACTTTGGGAATGCCTTGGCTTGCAAATGCGGATCACACGGTCAACTTCCACCGGCGGACTCTTACCGTCTGGAACGCCTTCGGCCCCGAAGTGTCGTGTACTATTCCTCTTCCGCACCCTTTGATCCGGTGCCAAGTGGTGACGGCCAAGTCTTTCCGGGCTATTGCGCTTACGAGCAGCCCGGCGAGATAGGCTTATGTTTCCTACGGATCGCCGTGGTAGCCGACTCTTCACCCATGGACTTATCTTCGGACCCCTGTGTGGTGTGGTTGCTTGACGAGTTCACCGACATCTTCGAGTCACCTACCGGTGTGGTGCCGGATCGGTCGATCTCTCACGAGATCATTCTTGGGGACGGTGTCGTGCCGACAAAAGGTTGCATTTACCGCATGAGCGAGGAGGAGCTCACGGTCCTCCGCGCGCAACTCAATGACTTGTTGGACAAGGGCTGGATCCGCTGTAGTAACTCCCCGTATGGAGCACCAGTTCTCTTCGTACGGAAGAAGAACAAGGATCTATGATTGTGCATTGACTACCGCAAGCTCAATGCGCAAACCGTCAAGAATGCGGGGCCTCTTCCCCGTATTGACGATCTCCTTGAGCGATTAGGTGGAGCGAAGTACTTTTCTAAGTTGGATCTGAAATCAGGATACCATCAGATCTCAATCCGGCCGAACGATCGCTATAAATCCACGTTCAAGACGCGGTATGAGCATTTTGAGTGGGTGGTCATGCCTTTTGGCCTCACCAACGCCCCGACGACCTTTCAAGCGGCAATGGCCAACGAGTTTCGTGCGATGTTGGACCGGTTCGTGCTGGTCTACTTAGACGACATTCTCGTCTGTAGCCGGACATTGGAGGATCATCTTGAACACCTTCGACGAGTGTTGGAGACGTTACACCGCGCCAAGTACAAAGCCAACCGCGACAAGTGCGAATTTGTTCGGCAAGAGCTGAAATACTTGGGTCGTTTTGTCACACCGGAGGGCATCAGTCCGTTGTCGGACAAGATTCAAGTCATCCAAGAGTGGCCGGAGCCGCGGAACGTCACGGATGTCCGTTCGTTCCTTGGCCTTGTCGGCTACTACCAACGTTTTATCAAGGGATACTCGAAGATCGCGACCCACTTGACTAAGCTTCAAGGCGAGGATCGACCGTTTGACTTCGGAGAGGATGCGCAGGAATCATTTTTGGCTCTCAAAGCCGCGCTATTATCTGCGGAGGTCTTGCGAATATACAACCCGCTACTTTTCAGGCCCGTGTCGTTTTCAGCCTGAAAGCTTGAAAACAATGGCCTACAGACCCTGTGTCATTTCAGCCCAAAAGCCTGAAAACAAGGGCCTACAAACCCTGTGTCGTTTCAACCTAAAACAGGGCCCTCCAGGCCCTGAGTCTTTTCAGCCTGAAATGGAGGGTCATTTTCAGGCCCTCATAAGATCGACCTGCCCTGAAACGTAGGCACCAGACCAGGGTTTTAGCACAGGCCATTTTGCACCTATTTTCAAGACAACTTTTGTTTGAGTGTCAACGCCAGGGCCTGGCACGTTTTGGCATTGGCAAGAGCAGCCTCCTGGACGGGCCAGCACTATATAGGACTGGCCCGCCCTGCAGGCTGTAGGGAGTTCATAGGGACTTCCCAAGCACTTCACGTAAAGTTCAGGAGGCAGGAGGTAGTCTTCAGGATTCGGCAGCAGCACTCTGGAGGAGAGGTGCAGTAGTAGTAGTAGCGTTAGCAGTAGCCTTCAGCGTTGGGCGCTAGTAGGAGCTAGATTAGTACTGGAGAGAGAGAGAGATTGGGCGGAGGCCAGGAGACTTACCTGCAGTGCCATAGCTCCAGCTTCGTCTTCGAGGTACCTGCAGACGGCACCATCTTCACAGGTTAGTGCCTGACACATCAGAGAGAGAGAGAGAGAGAGAGAGAGAGAGAGAGTCTTGCCTGATGTGAGGAAAGGGGATGGGTGGCAGGGTGATGTGGTAGGGGAAGTAGGCAGTTGGCAAATCTCCGTGTACGTGTGGCGGCTTGCGATTGATGGAGTGTTTGTAGTAGAGTGTCAACTTGGATCGGTGATTCTGGTGAACATCCCCGATTGAGAAACGGCTGCGCGAGGTAGATTTTTTTCAGGACGGTAACGAAGAGAAGCTGGCCTTTTGCAGCAGTTGTGTACGTTGTGTACGTGTGCTTTTTGTAAAACCATCTACCGTAGTGGGTAGAGGTCATACCATACCCCATCTATTGGCGGGTCGGGGCGTGATTGGTTGTCAGTCTGAGATTCACAGGTGCGCTGCCCGGCTTTGCAGGAGTGGAGGAGGAGGCAGGGACGTCCGCCCGGCGCTACGGTAGTTGTGGATTTGACGCGGTTTTTCCTACCCTGCTCCTATTATTACTAATATTATTGCCATACGCACACTTGCTGATCGTCCTACCCCAGCTCCTACTACTTCTCCCATCCCTCCTACTCTACTACAGTAAGTCGGGGCAGGGCACTTGCCGGTATTCTCTTGCGGCTTGCCACTCTTTTCTTTCTTTCCTTACCCCTCGGCCTCCTGCCTCATCTAGGTGCTCATCGATCCAAGCTCGTGGGAGAGCCGATTGTCAGTGCATCTGGCCTTTCTGCTGCTGACTTGGACAGCGGGAGTGGTGATTAGAGGACGAGGAAGGATGGTCAAGTCGAAGCCGCCGACGAAATAGGCGGCGAGGAGGACATTTGCGCGTGTTTCCTTCTCGCCACGGGGGCGGGTGCTGCTGCTGCTGCGGCTGCTGCTGCAGACGGATTTCATCCAGCTCAGTTGAACATGTTCTGACTGACTCTCCTCGTTCGGGCTCGATAACTTGCTTGTACTGCCACACAGCTATAAACGAGGAGGGTGTACGCGACATGAAAGTATAAGACAGGCAACGACGAGGATCTGCATATGTATGTATGTTCCTGCATGGTCGAGGAATCCTACATCACTATAAGCACATGCTCTAGGGCAATTTCTCTTACGCTGCAGGGGACTTGGCCGGTCGTCTGCGGCAGTAGAATAACGAGAGGAGGTGTAGGTGGTGAGGATACTGAGGGTTGCCATCTTCATATCCCTTCCTCTCAGCTTGAATAGGGAAAAAAAAGGAACACACAGAGACACACACACACACACACACACACACACAGAGGGAGAGAGAGAGAGAGAGAGAGAGAGAGAGAGAGAGAGAGACAGACAGAGAGAGAGACAGAGAGACAGAGACACAGAGACACACAGAGAGAGAGAGAGAGAGANAGAGAGAGAGAGAGAGAGAGAGTTCTTCTTCCTCTTCTCAGTCCACCATCTCCCCCTCACCCTCTCGCTACCTAACTTCACTGCATCAGAAGACTACGAGAGAGCGGGATTGGTGACATTTGGATCCAGACTCGACATTGGGCTTCAGACATTTGACGAGGGATTATCCGGGACTTGTACCGAAGACTTGGTGTTGACGACATTCCTACCTTCCCCCTCTTCTTCGTCTGATCTCCTCCTCTTCGTCTGTGTATGGTCTGGACCTGGCGCATTCTTCCTGTGTGTAGCGCCAGGCCCCTTCACACCTTGTGATGAGGATGATGTATGTTTGGTCTGCATTGCGACATTGATTGGGCTAGTCATTCGTATTTTAGCATTCCGCTTCGCTGTCTTGTACTACGTGAGAGAGGTCAGTCCCGGTCAGGTCAGGGCTTATATCTAAGTCTTCCACTGCTCCACAAGGTGCCATGTTGTATGTGTCAGGATGTACATTGCTTGTTGAGATTCCACTAACATCGCATTGACCATTCAGTCATTTTTATCACATTACGGATCCTTGGCTTTACATACATTGCCCAACTGGGCATGTAACACTACATGACAGTGTAAGGTAGGTGATACTATACACAGGTCTACCGAATGCTTCGACCCAAACGTAGACTGCGGGAGCTAGTAGAAAACAAATGGTATCGCCATCTCAATGTAGATCGTGGCCTGCTCAAACCCATAAGGTGGTTGGCGGACTATGGCAAGAGACCTGCAAAAATCTCTGCCCTTCAGTGGCAAATAGCACATCGATGCCTGCCAACCAACGATTGGCTAATAGAGCATACATGTCTGGAGCAGCAGGGGCGGGCATGGCCTTGGTGCCACAGATGTCTCCAGTGCTACCCCGGGAGAAGGCGCTCTTAGACAATAGAACACATCTTTCTCCAGTGCCCTGCGGATGTATTACTATGGAGGAGTTGGGATAGGATTTGGCGGCACATAGTTCCAGGCGCATTATGGCCATGGGACTGGAGGGCCATACTTCTGGGGCATTACCCCCAGATTCGGGAAATACATTCGAAGAAAATATGTTTCACCTGGGAAGACGCGCTGTCCTATGGGTCATATGGTGGAGAAGATGTATCCTGGAGATGGAGGGAGCAAGGGTGGAAGATGGAGAGGTCACGGAGCAACTACGGCCGTTAGTGCAGCATGAAATCACAGCCCAGTGGACGGCGCCCAAAGATAAACTTGATCAAGTGCATACCCGGGGAGATATAAATAGAATCATCTCCCGCTTTGGCAAGGACTGGTTGGGCGCGAAGAGGGAGGGTTGGTCGGCAGAGGTATGGTGGGCCGGGGATCACCATTTGGAAGAAGAACTGCAAGAGGGACACCGGGCAGAGATTGAAAGAGATTATCTGCTTTTTCACGAGTGGACCAAGGTTGACCCTGACGACCCGCTACGCCCAGCCCAGGAATTTGCAGACCCCTTCCCCCCCCACCCATTGTCCCTGGAGGAAGTGCTACCTGAGTCACTGTTCCCGGCTCCTGGCTGAGCAGGGCTCTTTCCTTTTTCTCCTGCAATTTCACCTATATAATTCTAAAGAACACTGAGCCTATTTCTCAGCAAAGATGCACCAACGAGGATAACAGGTGCATCCTGGCACATCCACCCTGTACAGTTAAGTCCCTGCAACTCAGGGCAATCAATGCTGGCAGGGTCCCCTGTGTTTTCTCAGTTCATTTCAGTTTATTTCGTGTCAGTTTATTTCATGTCTGTTTATCCCAATGGACACCACGAGAAGAGTAGATGGTGGACAGGGGCTGGGTGAAGGAGGGAGACTCCACTGGTGCCCCCCGGTGGCCCTCCCCCCAATACCAGACCGTGCCACAGGATAGGAAGGGAGGTAAAGTTTGGATATGGGACGCTGGACCCGGTTTCCAGCACAGTGGTGTCATGTTCAATGATGTAAAAAATTGTAAAGATGTATTCAAGGGATGCTGGACCCGGTTTCCAGCAGGGGAAAAAAAAAAAAAAGTGATACTGTACACAGATCCCATGGCTGGTAGTAACAGAATTGGAAGCAGCTTGACTAATCTGCTTGACCCCATTCACCCAGCTGACAGACCTTCGTTGCCTCAGTTTTATCACCTATACCTGTCTTATGGTTCAAGTAGCCAAGGTAGCCTCCCATTCCCCAACCTCCACCCTTCCTTTCTTGGGATGTGGTACTACAGAGATGCTCACAGATATGGCCGACAAGTTTGCTCCTTTGTATATGCTTTTGTCTCTGTTTCTGGCTTCACCCTTCTGAGAGCCGCAGCTAAGGGGCACAAAAGCATGACAGGCCCGCGCTAGACCCAGCCGAGTGCTGGGATCCAGGACCAGTTGGGACAGGCTGACAGTGCTGGGATGCGGGCCTGATGGGACAGGCTGATGGCGCTGGGATGCGGGCCTGATGGGACAGGCTAATGGTGCTTAGAGGTGGGTCTGATGTGGTTTTGTTTTCTTTTTTTTCCCTCTACTTGTGGGAGTGATGTGATCTGTGGGGCGTGCGGGATGTGTCATTTCATATTTGTTTTTTATGTCTTTCTCCTGTAGTTGGGAGTGACGTGTTCTGTTGGGCGGGTGCGCTGTGTCCCTTAGTGTTTGGTTTTTGTGTTTTTATCCTGTGTGGAAGTGACTTGGTGCCTCGCCACACTACTCCCCAAAGTGGCTGTTTTCAGGAGTGCAGTGTTGCCACACCAGCTCCCGAATTTGATCTGTGAGATTGAATTCAGGAGCTGTCAGAATGTGGATCCGGATAGCACTCCCAAAATCACCGTGCATTTTTTTTGAGATAGCTCCCTCATACCTCCAAGTTTCATCCCAGATTTGGAGGTGGATCTCAAAGGGACAAACAGCTTCTGTCAGACTGTTTCACACTGATGGTGTCCGGATGTGGCAACTGCCATTTTCAGACTTGGAGAGCGTCCTGTTTGAGAGTGCAGTGTGGCGAAAGGCACTCTT